ATGAGGAATGATTAATGATTTAATTGCCCCCCCCCCGTTTAGCTTAAAAAACTTAAAAAAAAAAAAAAAACGCTTGCGAACACGAGGAGCGATGGCTACATCTTTAATTAGTAGCATGATATAACACGGGCATGTGATTCGTAGAATGTAAATAAATGCAAATGCAATTTTTTAATTTTTTTTATTGATTAGCATTTATAGCCCACAGGTAGACAGTTGCTAGGGGGCAGAATTTTTTTTTTCCATGCCGCCTCCTGAATTGAAATACTATTGTGAACCTGATCATATGTATTTTCTTATCTGTGCACACCGCTGTATGAGTTGCTGCCACCTAGTGACTGGAGGCTTGTTTATCGTTCAACCATTACACCAGTGCAGTTGCTAGGGGGCAGAATTTTTTTTTTCCATGCCGCCTCCTGAATTGAAATACTATTGTGAACCTGATCATATGTATTTTCTTATCTGTGCACACCGCTGTATGAGTTGCTGCCACCTAGTGACTGGAGGCTTGTTTTATCGTTCAACCATTGCACCAGTGGCACCATATTCCATCGGAAGCCTTTCACGCCCAACCTCCCCCCCCTCACCCCTCCATCCCGGCGTCTACTAAACAACTTATTGACTGCCTTCTCATTCAAATTTTCAAATTAGCCTTAGCTACGTTAGCTAATCACTTGTTTCACTGAATTAGGGCATGGACGTCTCTGTGTGACGATGTCATAAATTACTTGTCGACTCTTCTTCGACTTTGCTCTTGGATAAGTCACTGTGGAAAAAAAAAAAAACCCTAATGCCATCAATGCTTCAAACTCAGGCCCGGGGACCAAATCTGGCCCGCAGTGTAATTATATTTGGCCCGCGAGATCATATCAAATGTGTATATAGGGATCTGATTAGAAAAGTTTGTTTTTTTTTATAGAAAATCAAATACGTTTTTTTTATAGCTTTATTGTAAATGAAAGAGATTTTCAGCATTTTCGCTATCTTTGTTAGCATTCCATTCAAATAGCTAAATAATAATACAATGCGCTCGGCGGCAGCCCACCCACGCTGATGTGGTGTGAAATGTAGGTCAGATGCGCGGAGGTCAGGTTCTGCACTGCTGATTCACAGGCCGTGCCTCGGTAACAAGCCCTCTGTCCTGTCTGCCGTCAGTCCGCCGTACCTGGCAACCGAGCTCGGGTCGTGCCGCGCAGCTGTCGGAGAACGCGGCGATGCGGAAGCGCACAGCTGTTCCGTCATCTGTTCGGATTTGCCGATGAAAGCGAGTAAGGATGCCAACGTGCGCGCAAGCTGGTTCTCACTTTGAAGTTCAGCAAATACTCACCGCGGTGCTCCTCCAGCAGGAGGAGTTTGATCGTTATATTGATTACAACTGTCGGAAGGAGCATTTTTTTTAACACGAATTCCTTTTTTGTAAAGCTACGTCAGTGTCTTCTCCGGTTCTTTGCGGGGAGATTTTTGTAATTCACGCAAAGTTTAATTAGTATTGTGTTTCAAACATGGTACGGTACAAGTCGAGGCCTTTCCTGGAAGTGATTGCTAGCAGATACATTATCCACTAGCGGAGGGTCATCCTAAAGGAAGCTCAAATCCAGCAGAGAAACGTTTGGGAACCAATGAAATACAAGATGTGACCCAGTGGTTTTAGAGTGAATTGCAGGTATCCGTTTCCAGATTAGTCTTCAAAAAAAATTGTTAAAGAATCACCCGAATGACATAGTTATAGGAACGTCTCACTGTCAACTGAGCGGTCAAGCCATTGATTTGTGACCTTTGTCCGTCCTCACCAATGTTTAAACAAGGTTTAATACAGAGGGAAAAAAAAAGCTAGACTTAGCTAAAGAATTGCCTCCGCAAAGGTAACTGGCTTTTTTTTTCTTTCTTTCCTTCTCTGCCAAACACTTACAGATTTCCGCGGACAGTTTCCATGACTACCGTAAAGTAAGAGACCACCTGTAGACTCGCTTCTGACGGGGAAAGAGAATGAGGCAAAAAGAGACAAATCACCCGATTGAAAAAAAAAAAAAACACGATTGACTCAGAGCTCCCTGGAAGAAATCCAATCTTTCAGATCCTCTGATGTTTCGGGACATTTGCCCGCAGATAGAAACATCTGGATCCTCGCTGAGAGGACGGCCGCCTTGCATCTCCCGGCATCGGGTTTTGATGGCCGCTCAGTCACCGATTTGAGCCCAGGACAGGGCGAGACCGAGCCCTCTGAAACTTCAGCGCTAGCCTCCCTCGGCCTGCCAAGTTGTGGCTATGGTTACAATAAAGGGGGTGGCGGTAAAGTAGCAGGTAGTAGAACTGACGGCGCTGCGGGAAGCGCAATGTTGCATTGTGGGAAGAAAAAAAAAAAGAGTCTCTTCCAGATGGTGAGGTACAGATTTCGTCGTAAATCGCAACTCAAACCTACGCTAACACAGTGCTAACAGCGTAATCTAGAACAGGCATGGGCAAACTAAGGCCCGGGGGCTGGATGCGGCCCGTTTTGTTTTTTCAATCCGGCCCACCTTTTCCCTGCAATACTCACGTTTCCCCAATAGATGGCGTAGACAAGGCTAATAGCATTTTAGCATTTTAGCCTTTATGCATGACTTTTGCATTTATTTTTTTTTGCTAACTCTCAGATCCAGAATCATATATGTGAGCTCTGTCTGTTCTCCTGTCCTCCTGCAGGTGGCGTTGGGATTAGTGTGATCACACTCACCTGGCAGGGTCCATCACCGTTGGGATTTTGTGGCGGTCCTTGTTTCTTCATTCCTTCCTCCTGCTACCTGGTGAGTTTTCGTGAAGGCCGTTATATGACAAATGGTAGCCACCGCCGTCAATAAATGACATATTTATTTCCCAGCTTTGAACAAGGTGACTGTGTCGCGTACGTGACGCCGGGTGTGTACGCGCCGAGCTCCACACTTCCAAGCGATGTTAGCCTGTGTGTTTTGGAATATCCAAATGTTGTATTTGTACAAATATGTGTTTGTGAGAATACGTGGGTATTGCAGGGAAAAGCCAGAAATATAATTATAATAGAAATAAATGATATAATTTGGAAAAGTTTGGCCGACCGAATTAAGAAACTGAAAAGGCCGCATCCGGCCCCCGGGCCTTAGGTTGCCCATGCCTGGACTAGTCTGTCTCTAGTATCTTCGTGTTACATCTGCGAAACATGTTCATTCACGCAGTGGTTTTTGTCGCACGCCGACATGCACAATAGCTGTATTTACGGCTACGCGCGGCTGCGAGTGAACTCATTGGCGCGTGAATTGTATGTAACCGTGCTGCGGCGCACGGCGGTGACAATGTAGGACACAGGAACGTGTATCGATTGTTGCGTACACGGGGCCTATTTCCATTAAAATAGCCCTGTGACAATGGGTTTTTTTTTTTTTTTTTTTTCAAGCTCAACAGGAGACGGCCCTGGAGAGGGGGGGACGGGGCGGGGGGGGAGTCGGGTGGTTAGATATTGAAACTCATCGTCATTATTAACTGCCTAGCGCGGGATGGGAATGTGGAATTAACAGATTAGACAACCGTCAGGGAGGAAAGACAACAAACGCCTCGTATCGGCTGTTTGATCTGGAGAGACGGAGAGGCAACGACTTTTGTTTGTTCGTGTGTCTCTTTGAGGATAATGGCTGAAATTAGGCATGATGGGAATGAATGAATATATATGTATATATACGTCAGAGCCTGGGTATGAAACATATGTGTCACCGGGTGATCAAGACGCAGGCAGACAGAGATGGAGAGACGAGGCTCACGGATTCTTCTTTAACGCTAGATTCCCCCGGCTGAGTCACTGCAGACAGAGGGCATTTTTCATGCTGCATTGCTGTACTATTTCTTTTTTTTTTTTTTTTTTAACCGCAATTCTTTTTATGACACCCATCCCCAAGGATGCAGGAGTCTCCAGAAAGACCCCGTTGTTGTGCTTATTATTACAGTCTGTTCTCTCACTGTCTCGCATTTGACTTTCATGGACAATAAGTCCATGTTTCCCATTTTGTTTTCCCTGCAAATACAGTACAATTACATTTAAAAGTATTTGTATTTAATGGAATATAATTTGTTTGGGCTTTTTTTTTTTTTTTCCCACTATCGCAATTCATCAAGTGGCCCGAATTGAACCACCCAGCGGTCCAGTTTTGGCCCCGCCAGCCTTATGTTTGACACGCCGGGCATACATCATAGCACGAGATGGACATCGCGATCTTGAGACTCTCATTAAAATTTCAATTCATAATAAAGTTTTTTTTTTTTTTCATGTCTTTGTCAGATTTTTGGCCGTGCCACAGGGAAAGATGGATCTCAGCAGCTGGGTTTGCAGTAGAGCAGACTGGTGGGTGTTACCACAGATGGATGGATGGATGGAGTGGAGTACCGAAAAGTGTTCAGGTATTTTTTTTTAAAATGTGTTGGTGAAAAAAAAAAGTGACGCTAAGTCTGTCGGATAAAGCGCGTCTGGGCAAACTTTTGACGCGCGGGCCACAATTGTTCTAAAATTGAACATTGTGGCGGGCTAACATGCTAACATGCTTTTATCATTTTCTACGCCATCTATTGGGGAAACGTTGGTACTGCAGGGAAAAGGCAGACTTAAAATGATAATATACATCATTTATATCATTTGGAAAACTTTAGCGGGCCGGTATTAAAAAGCCCAACGGGCCGCATCCGGGCCCCGCGGCCTTAGTTTGCCCATGCCTGGTTTACAACATAGATGTTGCTCTCTGCCTCGTATGTTGGCGATTCGTTTAATTCAGAGAAAAATGCACGTGTCACCCATCCAAACACACTTGTTTGTGTAGAGAGAAAGACGCTGGGTAATTGTGCTTGTGCTCTGATTTCAAGCATCACAGCAACCCCTGTGGAGGGAAAACCACAAAACTGGGTCAGAGGCTCGGAATATCAGAGGAGGGATATTATTAACATCCCTGTGTATTTTTTTTTTTTTTTTGGCACAATCGGGGTGCGGATTGATGGAAAGTTAGACTGCATATCTCAGCGTGGGAACTTCTGTTATGGTGCGAGTTGAATGATGAACCAGCCTCCGTGTTTTTTTTTTTTTAAATGTGTTGATGGGAAAAAAAAGTGACGCTAAGTCTGTCGGATAAAGCGCTGCCATAGTGTTGAGTGGTCAAACAGGATGTTACTAGGCCCTTGGCGAGACATCGACAACCGGTGATGTCATTCCAGTCGATGATTTCCTGAACTGTCTAATCACCCCCTGCAGGGCTTTCCGGTTTTGCTGCTGGTGCGACCAAGGGCGGCGTACGGCGATGCGGTCTGCCGACATGCTTCCATCGTGCAGGGGTCGAAGGTCAGTAATATTTTGAAACCCAGATCCTTGTTTTAGTCATTTATGGACATGGAAATTTCGGCAGACGGTGATGTACCCAGATGAAAACCAATACAGTTTTTTTTATTTCTAAAGCACATGCTTTACTTTGAACAAGGGTGTCAAACATACGGCCCGGGGGGCCAAAACCGGCCCGCTAGGGTGTTCAATCCGGCCCGCTTGATGAATTTGACGGGGAAAAAAAACACCTTAAAAAATTGTAAAGTAATGACGGGGCCGTGCACTACGTCCAAAGTACGAGTCTGACATTTAAAAAAAAAAAAGAAAAAAAAAATTCAGATGTCACAGCAGCTTCAACCATCTGTGCGAGTGCACAGGAGTGTGATGATGTGTAAATGTGCATGAAGATGTGGCTGTCATCTGTAATGTGGACTTCTGCAAGCATTCTGATGCTCTTAGTGAGGAGAAAAAAAAAAAAAAAAAAAATCAAACACTCCCAGCAGCTCTTTTGCTTCAACTCCCAATGCAGAGCTCCATTTTTTTTTTTTCTCTCCCGCACTCCTAGAAGTCAAGTTCCATCTGTGTGCAATCAATGTACCCATCTGAACACGTGTCTAACCAGGATTGAGTTGTTTTTTTTTTTTTACGCCACAATAACTGGTGCATCTTGCGAGAAAAAAAATATACAATTTTACAAAATACAAAAAATAATAATTATAGCGACAACAATAATAACAACAAAAAAGTCAATAATAATAATAATATTAATAAATAGAGAATTAATGATATTTGGTCAAAATATGGCTTGGCATGAGACTGAAAAAGCAGCTAAAAGCTAGCATAATTGTTAAAAAAATTTTAAAATTCAAATCAGGTAGCTAATGCTAATGGCTAGCCAAAGTGTTGAGAACAAAACGTTACAAGTTGGGTACAGTACCGGACATCTGTACTTTTCAAATAGTGGGGTGGGCCTCCAGTCACTAGGTGGCAGCAACTCATACAGTACTTTGTACAGTTTAAATGATGGAACAAGATGTTACTATGAATTTCAGGCTAGCGCGAAACTGTATACCTAAAAAGATGCTAAGCTAAACCTCTAAAGATGCGCCTCAAAAATCTCGTTAGCCAAGTAAAACTTCTACAACTTGAAGCTAAGGGCAAGAACGTCAGAGATATCATTTTAATAGCTGCGGGAAGAACTGCATGAACGCCACTCATTTGCATTTTGATTACATTGCCTCTTAATGCAAATCGTGCTGCAGTAGATTGTTGTCCAGTACCTCATTAAAGGTTTCTGGGTTGTTTTTTTTTTAAGCTCTTATACTTATACCTGTCTCTGAATTAACCTATTTCCGCGCAAGCACCAAATACGGTCACTTCACGCTACACACGCTTTTTCCGCCTAGCTCATTAAGGTACATGAAACGTGGAAGATTTGTCTTTCTTTGAAGAGGCAGATCTTGCCTCCATACAGTGCAGTAAATGCAGCCTATATTTTCACTATTTCTGTTTTTTCTTTTTTTTTTGTTCAGGCTGCCGACGAGTCCTTCTCCTTTAACATGGTTGAAATGAAATCCAATTACATCTGTAATGACTCTTCTCCCGCTTTGAAGCAGTCCACTCGCTCGAAAATTACCACCGTAGAACTCAACTCGGCGCACGTTCCGGACGACGAAAAAAGTCAGAAATGACAAAACCCGGGACTCGAGAGCGCCACATGTTATGTTAAAGACGTCGGCGGATTAGCATTTTTTTTTAATTAAATAGCCACGAATTTTGGGATTAATCGCTTGCTAAATTTATGGGGATAATTACACAGCGTATGTCCTTGGGTTTTGACTTAGCGGCAGCATCCAGCCGTGAATTAATTCATCACAGTTCTGGTGATGAGACACAAAGTTAGTCTGACACCCGGCAAACTTTGTTTCTTCGCTGTCACCCTTCGATTGCCTCCCCCTTTAGAAAAAAAAAACGTCCTCTCCTGACAGGATAAATCACAGACTGTCACCGCGCCTTTGTCGGTGAAGCCGCGTGGGCGGAAGAGATCATACACATTACGGCTTGGCGCGCGCTTTGTGTTAGCGTGTACGTGGGGGTGTGTACCGCACTTGCTAAAAAACAGCATTCTTTAGATTTACCTGATCTTGTTGTTGTTGTTTTTGTTGTTGTGTTTTGCCTTGTTGTCCTGGATTACTCAGTTGCACTGAACTTGTCTCGAAAACACTTTTTTGCAGCATGGTGATGCTAACAAAGCGGCTCGACGTCATCGGGTTGTGTCACATCTTACACTAGCATCTTGCAAAAATAATGACTTTGATGACCATCATTTTTCACCCTCTCTCTCTCTCTCTCTCTCTCTCTCTCTCTCTCTCTCTCTCTCTCTTTCTATCATCTAAGTTTGGCGATGGCTTACGAGGACCTACACTACATGGGTTCGTTAGCAGATTTCCTGTTAGCCTCGTGCTAATTACCTATACAGGATGTCCTCGACCCGCGGCGTTTTTGCGGTTACGTCACCATCTCCCATAATTCAGTATGAAAGTCTTGTTCCATCACTCCGACATACGGCACGGAAACGAATCGCACGAGATTAAACAGGTCACTAGCCTAGGTGTCAGAACAGGCTGAAAAAAAAAAGTTCTATATTTTATATGTCTAGGATAGAAAAGCTGGATGGATGTAATCGGTACCGAAGCCTTTGTCAAGTTGCAAAAAAAAAAAAAATAAGCATGTTTTCTTCCGTTTGAGCAGGTTCGCTAAGAACTAGCTATTGATTTAGCTCTTCTCTCCAGGGATTCGCATTGAGCCACAAGTTAGCCGTTAGCTCCTCGGGGGGGTGGGGGAGGATGACTAATCGTCGTGATTTTTAGACCGCGCTGATCTCTGGATTGAGTGCAGATTAGGCACCATGTGGGGGCGATGAGTCTCCTCTTCATTGCTGCCTCTTTTTTTTTTCTGGATGGAGATGTTTGGACTTATCTTCTTATCTGATCTGGCCTCGTTTCTCCAGGGGACCTCGTAGTCCTTATCAACACGGCCACATCTACATGGAAACCAAAGCCTTTGCTGCAGTGGAATATGATTAGTGGAAGGGAGGAGGAGAAGTCAAAGCGATTCCTGCTAATAATAAACCACATCAAACAACGCTAAAACCCTTTTGCGTTCCGTTTAAAAAAAAAAACAAAAAAACAATCTTTCCACAGTGTTTTGGCGAGGTGATCTTTTTGAATCTTCTTCCATGCTCTTTGAGAAGAAGTGAAAATATTTGTTTAAACCAAAAAAAAAACTGGACACACATTTTTTTTGTTGATACGGTGACAACGAACACAAAAGCGAGAATTAAAAATAACACACCTGCAATGGCACCGCGGACCCCTAGGGGGCGCATCCCACTTTGGAAACCTCTGGAAGACATCAGCAGCTTTTCCATTAAAATATAAAACCATTTTTAACACTAGTATTCTTTTTTTGGGACATGCTAATATTTATGCGCTAACATTAGCATGCTAAAATTTTAATATATTTTGTTAAAAAAAAAAAAAACCCGTACACAAATCTGACGTTGGAGACGTACAGCTGTGAGTGGTCCTGAATGTTGATCGTACTCTTAAAGAGTTAAAGTCTAAAAAATTAGAAAAGGCAATAGCGGCGCCCAAAAAAAAAGTTAGCCGTTATTGCTAATAACAGCTCAGCTATTCCCAAGATTCTCAGCCGTTGACCCGTTGAGTGAGCGTAACTTTGTCGCATGCGTGAACAGAGACGGATGGCACAATAACGACACGTTCATGTGGAACTCCTGAAATGTTTTTTTGTCTCCGAGACTTTATCTGCGGGCCACGAAAAAAAAAATAGAGATTAAGCCTCGCTTCGCAGAACCCAGCTGCTGACACTGACCTCCTTTGTTTCGACGCTGTGTGTGTGTGTGTGTGTAAGCAAGGTAGCAGAAAGGGTCACGGGGGGGATTAGAGTCTCTAACTAACCCCTAGTCCCCAGTAAACAACACATGGTTGTCTGTACAGTGTGTGTTTGTTTGTATGTGCCTGTGTAAATGTCTAACTGTGCCACTGCTGGTAACACCATAAAAAAAAGGGAAAGACGAGTCCATCTGTGAATGCGGTAGGATTAAGCTTCACTCAAGCCAAGAGCTATGCGTCCATCACACGCTGTACAGTTTCTGCCTGGCAGTAGGGGGAGGGAGGGAGGACCCCGACGCTGTTTTTTTTTTATTTGCGATCTTTCACATCATTCAAACTACGGACCATGAATCAAAAAAAAAAAAAATCCTTGGGTGTCAAACATACGGCCCCCGGCCCAAAACTGGGCCCCCACAGGGCTCCATCCCGCCGGCCTTATAAAATTTTAAAAAAAAAAAAAAAACACTTATTTTTTGGATGCAAAAAATTTTTAATCGTTAAATATAAAAATTCTATCTAAGACACGTGTACTTCTTGTCTCGTCTCGTCTTCTATCCTGCCCAGAGACGAGATCGTAGATTGTAATTGGACGTACAGAGCCACTGACTGAAAAAGTAGGTTTCGTTTCATGTCATGTCTTTTTTTTTTCTCTTTTTTTTTTTTTCGTCTATTGTTGCCATATTGTTGGCAACTGGCTGGCCTTTCAGGCAGAAAGCGGCAGATGCACATTTTACCGCCTGACTCTTCTTCTGCCGCTCCTGTGCCAGCACTTGGAACGATTTTAACGTCCTCCCGTGTCCACTCTGGTTAACTTTGACGCTGTCCATCCAGCCTGTCTCACTCCCTTCACTAACGCCCTCTGAAAACAAAATTTTGACTAGGTTCCCAAAATAGGGGGCGTGCCCCTTAAGTGGCGCAGCCTTGTTGCTTGAGGGACAGATGGGTTGAAAGCAGTGTAAAATGAATATCGGATAATAATTTTGCGAAAGAGGCCGATATTTATAATTTGTTGTTTTTCCTCTCACCCTTCAGGTCTGCGTGGAGCAGCAGCAGCAGCCATGTCCGGGGCCCCCCCCCCCAAACCCGTCCCCGGCACCAAACTCTCACACAAGGCA